CCACGCGGGCGGCCCGGGTTCGATTCCCGGCCGGCGCAGATCAGGTCACATCCGTTTTATCAGCCTGCAACGTACGTAAGAGAGTCTACCGACACCGGTTTAAATCCCCATGTGCCAGATGGTTTAACGTGGAACCTGCTCTCCCGTGGGAAGCTGCGCAACTGAGTCAACATTTAAATCCCTACGATAGCGTTATCTCTATTTTTTGCGCAGTATGTTGACTGGTTTGTTTTGCATGTTTTCCTGCCAGAAAAGTTATTTTGCATCGATCCCTTGCCGTACAAGTCATCGAAAGATGCCGACATTGTCATGCGTCCAAGTCGCGAGTGTAACGACCCGGCTTTTACAAATCACCAGAACTACACAAAATGTTCTCCATCACCAGACCTTCAAGGAGTATAGAATTTTCGTCATTGGAGCAGATATTATAAGAAGACCGGGAATAACTGGGCAAAATTATCATTACTTTCAGTGTCCGTAAATTTCGCGACACCTGGACAACTCATGAACCAACCGAAGGGAGACAGGACAAGAGAGAAACTTCACGCAGGCACAATATTTGATGTCTGGGAGAAGGAATAAACTAGCCAGAGGTCTCGCGTTCAACATGGGACGCCTGCTCAACGATGCGTCCGTGAAGCCGGACGCGATTCTCTCACCTGACTGACTAGTTTGCTGGATGAAAAGGGGATGTAGGCCGGCATGCATGCTGATTTTGTTGCAACTACGATGAGCGCGAGGCGAAGAGAACCCGCACCATCCCACCAGTAGGCGGTCACGGAGATAAATTTTATCAGTAAAATATAGTCGGGTCAGTGGTTGTGCTTCGAGTACGGTTGTAATGAGGCGGACGTCAAAATTGGACGACTCACTGGCAGCAGGCGCAGTCGCATCATGAGACGAGGAAGTATCCTGGTTTCAGCGCAGCTGTAATTCGGCCCTTGGACTCGCCTGCTCTTGTTTAGGAATTGATTATCGAAATGATATATCTGGATTTCGAGTCATTGCGTACATTGCTTTACGCAAAGTTCATTCGACGACCTACTCGGCGTATATATTCGCCCTGGGGGAAAGAAATGTCACTCATCGTCAGTAGTTCATTCCCAATTACGGCACCAGATGTATGGGCATTAAGCACATTCACTTGGCTTACAGATATTCCAGACAAGGAATTATTCGTTCGTCTAACATTTGTGACAATAGGCGTCCGGTGATCCAGTCATCCCGCCGAGTTTACTTACATACCTTTGTCCCCACCCTTTCGTCCAAATCGGTATGCCCACTGGGTCATGTCTCGTTTAAATGCAGTGCATCGAGGAATTAGTTATATTTCTTTGTTACGACACGAATTCCTTACACATGCAAGTGTGTATTCTTTGACAGGTGTGGGCATAACTGTCTGAGGTAGATGGTTTTGTTTCCACACCGCCTACTTATGTTCGTGTGGACAGATTGAATCCCATTTCCCGATATGACCACAATAGTCTGCATCACAATTGGTATGCTAGCTATTGTGGGCGAGCTGTTTTATACCTAAATCGCCAAACCTGTACCTTCTAGCGCAGGACGTTGCTGTAGCCCTATGTTACCTAGACTTCCTGTCCTTTCAGCTGTCTTTTGAAGAATTGAGACGCATTCTTTGCCTAAACGATAATTAGCCATCTGACTGGTTTTTGCTTCCGGACTGCCGTAGCTCTGAAATTGCCTTCATCTTTGGACACCTTCGTCGTATGTATCAGCGCCAAAGTGTCATAGATATTTATTTTTGGAAAGAAAATTCAAGATTTATTAGTTCCTTTTCTAAAAGATCTATTCATCAGGACAGCTGGTTCTTATCTGTTTCTTGTAGGCCAGTGCCAGTGCAGTAATCAATGAGCGACGGAACAGTTACTCTTATAGTTTAGGATGACCTCGGAGTATATGTGTCTGCAACGAGCGGAAGCTTGGAAAGTACGAGGACAACTAGAAATGCGAGTCACTCATCAACGCCTGTGTTAAAAACAAATTCAATTCCCGACAAGTAGGAGTTATGACAAGTATGAGGTATTTCTAATTGATCTTCATTGATGTCAATGACGGATGTATTATGTACCTAACACAGCCACAATTTTAGGTTAACTGTGGGGAGAGTCGTGGTTTCCAAGTTCTTCAGTATCCTCCCAAGTGAAATGGTGGTCACTTTCGTCTGCGTGTGTAAATCAAGGTCATACGATTTACGGCCATTTTGTATTTGTCAATAGGAGAGCACAGACGACGACTCGTATGACGAGCGTGCAAGCAAGAGCCATTGGCGCTCGGTATATGGCAAATCACGCTTGCGGGTTGCACTCTAGAAGATGGGATCTTTCATTGGAGATTATGCTGGCTACTGAGCTCTGCAGATGACAGATAGATTCAGTTGCCGGATGATTGTGCTGGATGTTCCGTGCCTATGTGGTGGGACGTAAGAAACATCCTTGCGATCTGATTCATTCAATGTGGCTGGCGGCTTCTTGTTGGGATATCCATTAGACCGAAACAGCCGAAAAAGACAAGCCAGTTCTTTCCTGAGCAGATCATCCCTGCTGTAATAACGGGTAGGATCTGGTTATCCAGCCGCACCTGATGGACACAATACTGTTAGGGGTCAGGATTAGGGTCTAGGGCAACGATTGCTCAACCATTCAAAGTAAAACCGCGCATTCCCAATTGCTTTTCTGTTGCACACAATTACTTGACCTCGTCGCCTGTGCGTTCCCCAGTCCCCCTTGTAAATGCCCCCCATTACCACCGGTCCTGTATTACAGGCGGCTGGGGTTTGTTTACCTCATGTGCGGTTGCATAACCACATCTAACCTAATAATGAAAAGCCCGGTGGTAGGGGGCTCGTTAGTACTGTTGTTCCTACAACTCGAAATGATTTCCGAATTTGTCTGTGCTGTATAAACGCTTGCTGTGCGGATAACACCCTTCAAGATATATGCGCAAACTCCAGAAACGACAGGCTTCCGGCTGCTGCATCTCTACGCATGAATCATATATTTGCGACTTTAATAATGCAACTCTAATGTGCTCGTTCGACTTCAAATAGTATTTCGGTAATAGAGATGACTTTCCAAATTCTGCATATGTGTACGCCAGCTACGGTGATCACCACACGAACAATGACTTGGTAGCCCAAGATGCGTCAGCAATGCATAGAATACCGATCATGGGACTGAGTACCTGAAATCTTGCCAAGTGGATGTACAGACACCTGAATCATCTCACCGACCAGTGTTTATTCCTCCCACTTCAACTCCCTTCATCTCATACTTCACCGGTTGCCCCTCCATCGCTCACTCCATGGACGCTTTTCAGGTGACAGAAGACGAGTTGGCGAGTATACGTTGCTTTCGATAAATCCTCTTCAGGCGAGTACAATTATATGGGGACGAGGCAAAGTCGAACATGCCATTAATTGAGAAATCGGACAAACCGGCTGGACTTCCGAATGGATCTTAAGTAAACCATATAGTCGAGAGGTATGTGAGCTAACTGACCTGAGTTGTTCGAGGTCAGGGTCACTTATGTAACCTTCTGCATGGAGCCTTCTTACATAGTCAGTCAGTTTTGCCTCTGCGTCATCCATGCAATTCTTTTCTTTGTCTGCCTTTCCGGATTTCTTCTGGTAGGATAATATGCACTGTATCGTCTTTGCGTAGTCCAATCTGTTCATTATAACGAAGCCTGTTCCTTTGTCTGGCCTAGTTACCGAAATCTCTTTGTTCTCCCGAAGTTCTTTTGATTTTTTCACGTGTGCTTTTGTCAGCAATTCTCGACTTTGGGCTCTTTTTAGGTATTGATAGTTGCAAATCACTAGCGTTGATTTAAAATGTTGTATTCTGCCTGTGGAAGCGGGCAATAGATCGTAGATTTGGTTCCAGAAATTCTCGAATTGAGTTTCCAATTCTATCGTCATTCATTTTGCAATTAATTTAACTCATGACGTTGCATACCAAAACGAGAATACTGGCTTTCGCCAAAGCACAAGGCCATCGTCTATTTCTACATTGAAAAAAGTATGCTTGATTAGTTGGTCATTGGGAAATTGGAATGACTTGGGTGAGGCATTTACAGCAGGGCCGCGTATTACCGCTCATACTTAGACAGCTGACACTTAGCCAGTACTCAGTTTGCGCTGCGACAAGCAGCTGGATGCTGCAAAATGTTCATTTACCCTGCAATGATCAACGCTTCGTTAATTGCGAACCTTCATGACTATAAAGTGCTGTCTTCCAATCCATCTTCTTAGGCAGCCGAACGTTCTCTGCCCCCGTTATCTGTGTACGCAATATAATGACAATTTTTCCTCGCGTTTTCACATTGAAAATTCATCACTGTGACGAGTGCTCCCACAGCCATATCCTATCGAGAATCTGTTCTACAGGCCGGAATTCCATGACATCGTTAGCTTAAATTACGGGTGCACGGCTTTGGCACCTGAAGCTGGGCAATCAATTACGCTCAACATACTGGAAAAAGCAATTTGCATTTGCTCTTCATCCGTCGCTCGCCACACCCACATCTTCTTGTACTGATGATTAAATAAAAAAATTAATAGATACATTTTTACCAAAGACTCCTGGAGTCTCATAATAGCAAGTTAAAATAAATTTTCATATTAATTATAGAACAGGTAGGCAGAATCTCCAGAGTGGTAAGTTCATGCTTTTTTCAATAAGCAGTTTTGTCAGAAAAATGTGGAGCGTGCAGGGAAAAAATCTCCTGCACTTTATAAACAAAGTGGATGTACGTGCAGACCTCTGAGTCATCTCTTCGACCAGTTTTCATCCCCTTTCCTCCCTCCCTTTCGACTCCCTCCATCTCATACTCCACCGGTTGTCCCTCAACCGCTCACTCCATTGACGCTTATCAGGTTGCCTCTTCCACAGAAGTGCCTTCAAGACCTCCTCCGGGATGATTCCTTTGAACATTCATTACCAGTCCTAACACCACGATGTACACTTTCTCTTCCCCGAATGACTGTTGGGCAGCCATTCGACCTCCGCGCACCAAGAAACCGTGTCGCCGATGTGGGTCAACGCTACGACGGGGCGACATCTAACATCCAGCCCTTCCCCGAAGAAGCCTCAACAAACGTGAATATTGTTTCGATGCGAAGCCTTGACAGCAAATACGTGGCCACTTCCAACTCCACGGAAGAATGCACGAAACTCTCCATCTCCAGACCGTCGAGGAGGATTGAATTTTCGCCACAAGAGCAGATAATGGCGAAGGGTCGTGAGTTTCTGAGTGAAGTGATCCTGACACCCAGGGTCCGCGAAATTCGCGCCATTTGGACAGCTCATAGACAACCTCAAGTGATATGAAACTGGCAAGACGGAAGTGTGCTTGAACGCTGTTGGCTGTCAGGTATTCCGTTTCATTCACAGACTGAGGAGTCGGCCAGCGTGGGAGCCAGCCGCCTCTGTTGCAATTGCGCAGCGAACTTGTGCCGAGAATGTTCCCATGTGTGAGAACAAGAATTCGAATGATCCATTAGGAACTCTTTCTTGCGCAGTGGGTTTATGAACGGTAGCGGGGTTTTCATCAGCGTATTTTTTATCATTCCGAGAATTTATGCCTTTTCAGAAGTTTTTTAAAGAAAGAAACAGTACTTATCTTATGCATTCCCGTGACTTGGTTCACGGATTCTCGTCAGACTTATGAAGGCTGTGCAAAAGAGGTTAACTATTTAATCGCGACTGGACCGTTTTGTTCCACGATGTCCACCGTGTGCTCCACAGAGAGCTGAGAGCAGACACGGTGACTTGTGCGTGAGTTAGTTTATTGCGATAGTAGGCTTGCGTAGCATTTACCGCACTCTCTCCTCCCCCACCTAGGCTCGGTGTCAAGACACAGTCAAGAAGATCGGAGGCGGGGAGGACGCAGGTGGATGGCACGGTCGAGCCCGCACCTTGGCGCTCCACTCCACACCCCCTGGTCCACACAGAAAATGAAAAACAACAACAGCAAGGGGGGTAGCGGGGGTCCCAGTGTGCACGACGTACGCCGGCAACCAAATCTGCTACTGCACCCCGAAATGTTGGCATTCGTTATGCTGCGCAATCCAATAACGCCTGTCAGAATTCGTTATGGCCCCCATTTGGTCCAGCGCATGTACGACGTGGTCCGTTTGGGGGGGGGAGTGAACCCTACACCAATAAGCGTCTGTCGCAACCCGTCACCTCGTCAGGATTGGTTGTATTCCCCCCGTTTGTCCCTGAGAATTTTGCATGTGACATACGGGTCGATATGCCTATTGATTCATGCCACTTCTGAGCGCCTAGTGTCTAAAAATTCGCGGCCTTTCCTTATTGGGCAGGCACCAACAATGCGAATTTTCTATCATTCATATGTGTTTATAGGGTCCAACGTGTGTATGATCAGCTGGGATAGGTAGCCTCGTCTATTACAGCAGATAACTAGTGGGGACAGTGATTTACGGACTCCTGTTTCTTAAATTTAGCGCCGAATGTATGAAACACGGAGTAACTGTGTGACATAAAGCTAGCAAAATGAAAGTATGCTTGAATCATGCAGATATATGTCAAGCATACCAGAAGCCAACCGTCTCGGTCACAATGGAGCGAGGAACGTGCGCCGAGTGTTATTTTACGTTGGACATGGATTTCAGGCCAGCTATTGAGAACTCCTCACTGAATGTGAGGTACGTATTCATGAGTGGCGGAAGCCCGGGGGTAATAAGAAACGCCTGTCAGCGAGTTGGCCAGGACGTCTGGTCGTGGACAATGGCGCGGCTGCAACAGCAACTTGCTCTTTAGATTTACGGTCATATGTTCGAGATAATGTCAAGCAAAGTAGGTCAACGGGATGCTGGACAATTGCTGTAAAATTTCCTTGCATGTAGGAGAGGGTCTAGCATTTTCATTGCCAGAATTCTCCATTGGAGCTGCGTTCTTGTGGTTGGCTCTGAGATTCGAAACAGTTTTTGTCCGTTTCCTTTTTTTGCTATCAACGGCAACATATTCGCCCGCACTATCACATTCCATGCTCAAATTGTTCTTGTGCTTACGTCGGTCAGGCAGATCTTCGACCTGGAACTCGCATTAACAACTGCTCGGATTAACCAGTAGTCACTGCTTCTGGTGCTGGATAGCATAAAGTATAGGGGTAACCCAGCTGGGACTGTGTACCGGTGGTTTTCTTAAAGAGCACCTGCCTGCCATGTGAGTGTCCAAGTTCGATTCCCGGCCTGCGCTGCTCGCGCCTGTTTTCTCAGCCCGAAACAAAAACAAGAACGTTAATAAGTTGTAGCGCCGAGGCCTCGTAGTGAAACGGACAGTGGACGTATCCAAACCACTAGAGTCAACCGCTACTGCGGTCATAGAATCCTTCCGGTCAGTGAGAAAGGGTAGAAAATACCAGCTGAGGCCTTTCATTCTGTGCAAAATTATGACGGCAAAGTCGTTGAAAATGGGGCGTGTTAGGTGTCCGCCAACGGCATTCAGCGATCGGACAACGCCGTACCCAAGTCGTTGGCTTATAAAAGCCCATGCTACTAATAGTCGTGCCACCTGAGGATGGCTGGTTTTGCTAATGCAGATTGCAACGACGATTTCATTAAGCAAGATCTATTTTAACGTGGAGAATGAGTACATACAGCTTCCAAACGAATGAATAATCCAGTATCTTGCCCAAAAATCGTTGGACGGAAGGGTGACGACGTAGAATCTGACAGTCAAATATGCCTCCGAGGCTGTCCACTGGTCGTTGTAAAGACCTGGACCCCAAAACATGACTTGCAATTTCACGCTACAGAGTGCGAATGAAGAACCTACTGCTGACTGCTGAAACCTTTGTAGCTGTTTGTAAAGTTTTTGTAATGACCGCAATCGGAACTACGTCATTACAACGCGTCAGAGTCTGCAGGTTTACCTACATACATCCCTACTGACCAAATTGAGACTGGGAAGCTACGTCTTAAGTCACAATGTATACGGGAATCTAGTCATGAATTCATATTGTGAGAACTAGGTCTGCTGGACAGTCGCAAGTCCAAGATGATCGCAGTTGACTGGAAGAGATAAATTGGAGGTGAGTCAACAACCGGACTCAGTAACCGTAGACCTACGGGGTCAAGCTGTCCTCCCACTGCTGACGGTGCATTTTCGCATCGCTCCGAATGCTTGCATTGACCAGTAGTCAGTGCTTCTGCTGACGGGCGACATAAAGTGCAGAGGGAGGGTAGATGGAAGTGTGCGCCGGTGGTTCAGTGATAGAATGCTCGCCTGCCACGCGGGCGGCCCGGGTTCGATTCCCGGCCGGCGCAGATCAGGTCACACCCGCTTTTCCCAGCCCCCAACAGGCGTAGGACAGCCAAACGAGACTAGTCAAAATCCCCATGTGCAAGATGGTTTAACGTAAAACCTGCTCTCCTGTGGGAAACATCGCAATTGAGACAACATGTAAAGTCCTACAGAAGAGTAATCTCTATTTTTTGCGCAGCCAGGTTTTACCACTGGCAGGATGACTAGTTTGTTTTAAATTTCGTCCAGTCAGTATAGTCAGTTTGCATCGATCCCCTCTCGGCCAAGGCCTCGACAGATGCCGATATTGTCATGCGTTCACGTCGCGACAGCGAGGAGCCGGCACCCTTAAGTAACTGAATTATCATTGGATTATGCTGCACGGTGATTAATATTGCAGTCCTGCTTTAGCAATCCTTCCGAGTCTAAAACGCATTTGTCCAATATAAAAAACTTAATTCCGTAAATTTTCCACTGGTTCCCCAAGTCGTCTTCAGACATGTGGGAAATATGCATAACAGTGCCAAAAAATCGATACTGCCCTTTTATTCCCGCCAATGACTCATGGCCTAGGTTGACTTCTCGCGCTGATTGGCTGCGGTCACTTCCATCTTTCTCTGAGATTGCCTTCTTTAATTTCCGAGGAAATTAATGCGCGAACTTGGAGTAAATCTTTCGAACCGGGCCTTTTCAGGCACGCTCCAAATTGTGATATGAATATATGAGCTGAAATCCATCAGCTACTGCGGAATAACCGCTTATCTGAGGAGAATGAATTGCTCACCGGATCGGGGGACTTTTCTGGCTGACGTTTCGAAGAGCTGGGGCTGCTCTCCATTGTCAAAGCGTCAAGTGAAAAAATCGATCAGCATTTTTGAATAGACTGCCGCATTAGTTGGCCCTGGGCTGATCGATTTTTTTCTTCCTTCTCTGCCTCGGCCTACTGGCCGTCGCCTGTGAATGTTGGTGGCCTCCTGTAATACGTGTCGTCACCTCAATTGGGGTTGGTTGCGTTTGCTTTCCCCTTTTGGGTGAAGTGGTCGACAGGCCGTGTTTGCTCGGCATTCTTAGGCTCCGTGTGATTGTCTTGTCTTCGTCACGGTGTATGAAGTGACGTAGGACTTTATAGGCCGAAGGAAGGTCTAGATGCCTGTTGATGGAGTTGGCATCTGAGTACCAAGCCTCAAGAGTGAGACGCTCAGTCCTTGAGGTGCCCCTGCCTATGACGGCTGCTCCTTGAAAATCAAAACTGTGACCAGTTTCCCGATGTGGGCCGCAAGCTGTGAGTTTGGGTCTAGTCTCCGTGTTGCCAGTTTGTGCTCATGTAGGCGGAGACTAGACCCAAGCTCACAGCTTGCGGCTCACATCGGGGAAACTGGTCACAGTTTTGATTTTCAAGGAGCAGCCGTCATAGGCGGGGGCACCTCAAGGACTGAGCGTCTCACTCTTGAGGCTTGGTACTCAGATGCCAACTCCATCAACAGGCATCTAGACCTTCCTTCGGCCTATAAAGTCCTACGTCACTTCATACACCGTGACGAAGACAAGACAATCACACGGAGCCTAAGAATGCCGAGCAAACACGGCCTGTCGACCACTTCACCCAAAAGGGGAAAGCAAACGCAACCAACCCCAATTGAGGTGACGACACGTATTACAGGAGGCCACCAACATTCACAGGCGACGGCCAGTAGGCCGAGGCAGAGAAGGAAGAAAAAAATCGATCAGCCCAGGGCCAACTAATGCGGCAGTCTATTCAAAAATGCTGATCGATTTTTTCACTTGACGCTTTGACAATGGAGAGCAGCCCCAGCTCTTCGAAACGTCAGCCAGAAAAGTCCCCCGATTACCGACCCGGATCTCTTACTTTTGCTAACCTGAGAATAACCGCTTAATATTCACAAACCGCCAACAGGCAGCCAGTAGTATAGAACTGTGCAATGATTTACCGTACTAACAACACAGGTATTAGCTAAAAGCCCAGACACGCGTGTTTCGCCGATCTTATGCCGCTGCCTGACGCCGCTGCGAGGGGTTCGGCTCGTCAGTGGGTCCCCCAG